AAAAATGCTCTCTGGTAATTTCCTTGAGAGGCTTACTTTAGGTGTTCTTCCTCGGATCCTCTTCAAAATGACTAAGACAGGGCTGGCCATGAAACTAGGTGGTCCAGTGCTGCCCAGCATGTGGAAGCCTTAGGCTTCCTCTCCTACAACATTAAAAAAAGGAGAGTGTGGATGGAGAGCCTGGTCTCTCCCTTAAACACTCTAGTTTTCCTTTATAATGGCTCATTGAGCTGGAAATGGTTAGGATCTGGATCATTCGTATCTATGCATCTAATTTTGGCTGCCCTTAAATGTCTTACTCTAGTTTAATGTCAGTTTATGAAAAGTAACGAAGGATTTGTCCATGCACCTTGGACCAAGTTTTGAATTTGAATTACCTCATTAAAAACTGTGTTATTAAGTATGAAGACCGTGACAGGTTACAATCTTGTAAATAAAGTAACTTTTTAACAATTGCGTTTTGTTTGTAGTAAAGAGTGAAAATGCAAGGCCCCACTGGGAGTCGAACCCAGGATCTCCTGTTTACGAGACAGGCGCTTTAACCAGCTAAGCCATGGAGCCACGCGGCAGCAGGTATGAAAGACAGTTAAATGTATCCTATTTTATTTCTGTTTAGTGGGAAAACAAAAGAAGCTTACACTATCTAGTGACGCCTATTTTTATCAGGGAAGAATCAGCTGTGAAAAGAGACTGCGTTTTCTCTGAAACGCATCACACACGGAGACGAATCAGTCCCAGTCAGATATTTTTCTCTTATCACAAGGACATGCATTACGCACACACACACCCGGCTATGGAGTGACAAAGGCCATCCACGATAAAGTAGATAAATGTGTAGGCGCGGCACTTGTGGGTGCGTGTGTGCTGTGCAAGTCTTTGGCCTCTTCAAAGAGCTGCATAAGAAATAAACTATTTGCAGCGTTCTCGCTTTCCAGATTTTCTGACTCCTGGAGACCGATCTTCAGCTACGGTGTCTGCAGGTTTATGCCTTGTTTGAACCTCAAACAAGATCTACTTCAACGACCATAAAGACGTTCTCACTCAGAGCCCTGGAGCGAGGGGATGGGGAGGCTGGAGCTTGCACCCTGGACACTAGGGAAGAGAAATGGCTTGGTTTCCTGGGAGTGGAGGTGGAGGGCAGTGCTCAAACTGGAAGCTGGCTGGTGCTGGAACTGTTGGGGAGTGGGGATGAGGTGGAGTAGAGGGAACCTAGGAACAAACCTTCTAGGCCACAAGGATGGGCAGGATCCAGCTCCTCAGGGCTGGGGAAGGCATGGAGAGTCGCATCAAATGCAAACGGGTTCCAAATCGAACTGTGGGAATTAAGTGCTACCCCACAATACCTTCAGCAAAAGGCTTTCACCCCTAAGGACTTTATAATATTAAGCAGAACTCGGATTCCTAGTGCGTAGAATTGAAAGACGGGTGGGGGTGGGGAGCGACTTTTGTCTTGCAGGTGCTCTCATTAAAATATCAAATCCTGTGGTGGTATGCACCTGCAATCCCAACACTGGAAGGCTGAGGCAGGAGGATTGCCATGAGTCCGAGGCCAACCTGGTTTAAGTAGCAAGCCTCTGCTTTAAAAATAAACAAACCACCCCCAAAACACAACTTTCTGCCACCGACCCCAAAGTGCAGCACGGAAACTTAGAACTTCCTGAGACTGAAGGGACCATGTTCTCAGCACAAAGGAGATTTATTTGCCCGGAGGGACAAGGGACAGGAAATAAGAGACAAAGACAGGAGATAGAGCCTGAGGGAGAAAAGGAAGGGGGAAGGGGATATCCGGGGTGAGGAGGCCTCTGGATAGAAAGGACACAAACATAGGCAAACAGGCAAATGGCAGTTTATAAAGGTAAAAGGGGAAATCCCGTGTTAGAATGAGGTGTTTAATTTAATTGGGCATATTAATTAGGGCAACCAAAAGAGTGCTTTTGATTGCTGGATTTCATTCAGTACTTTGATAACTGGATCTTGGTGGTTAGCTTCAGGAGGAAGAAGTGGCCAAATAAGGGAATAGACCTTGGTGGCTAGCTTTAGGAATGTAATCTAACAGTTTTTAGCAAGGCAGGGGAGTCAGGGAGAAGGGCAAGACCTCCAGAACTATGGTTGCCATGCTCAGGCTGGCTAGAGTCCCTTCTGGGACTAAGTGAGGTGATTGTCCCAGAACCTAGTCCTCTGAGTGAGGGCCCTCATTAACAATTTTGTGATCCACACTCTTAGTGATGCTGACTGGTTGTTCGTCAGCAATCATAGCTTATCTGATTACACGATAGGCTGTGAGTACTTTTGCCTTAAGAAAACTTCTCCAGCAATAATCCTTATTGTGGTGGTAACTAGGAGAGTGATAGCAACACTCTATTGCTGCATGCTGGAGGGCCAGTTTGCCCCTTTCTAAGTTTTCTTTACAGTTTTCCTTGAGAACTAAGATCATAGAAATTGGCTGAGCAGAGAAATGGAATTTTTTTCTTCTGTTCCTTTTATACCTATTTTTCCATTATTACTATACTATGGTCATTATCATTTGGTCACACAACCCAAACCTACAGTCACATCTCATACAGCAAGGACATGCCTGTTTCTGCTCCCCCTGGCTTTGACTGTGTTAGGGTCTAGATGTGAAATGTCCAGCACAGACTCATGCGTTCATGGGGGCTTTGGGGTAGGTTGTGGTACCTTTAGGATGTAGGTCACTGCAGGTCAGGACGCATGAGGCACAGCCTGTACTGTTGAGCTCTCTGAAATTACCTCACACTTTTGCTGCCAGGGAAACACCACAAGCTGCTGAATTCATCATCAACTACAAACCAAAGCAAGTCCTCCCTCCCTTATGTTGCTTTTGTATTTGGCCACATAGGCAAGAAAAATAATTAATGTGGCTTTCTCAGAACAGAGTTTCTTTTCTCATGATCGGAGTCATAGATGCTGTATTTTTCAGAGCAGCAGCAGAGTTGAGACCTCAGCTTCTCAGGCACAAGACAGTTTGGGCTGTGATGACTCAAAGGTGAGAGACTACAGGTCCGGGTTGCTAGGCAACCGGAGGTTCAGAGAGCCTCCAAAACCTAAGAGCCAAGTGTCCCAAATTCCTAGGCCTAGATGTTGTAACCTTAGCTGCTGTAGAACCAAGGGGCTTGGCCAGCCATGACTTAAAACTGGAATACTAGCTTTGGGATCCAATACCTAAGGCTTGGTATACCAGCTCCAGACTGAGCAGAGGATTACAATTGCTCCTGCAAGCAAATCACAAACTAACATGCCCCCACCCTAAACACTGGGAACAGTCTATGGACTGTTGAGCCCATAGCCATAAGACTGTAGTCTTCTAGACAAGCCCTAGAGCCTGTCATGAGACCGAAACCCTGTGACACTCAAGGGCCAGAGCTACAGACACCAGAAAGCTACTTTCCTACTTCAGTTTTCCATCTGAATAGAAGACAGTACTTTAGCCAACTGACCACCAACAGCAGGGCTTCTGCACCTCTGATAAAGATCAGGTTTTGCCAGATGATGACTGAGAAACTAATTAAAAAAAAAAAATGGGGCCAAGTTCCTGCAAAGAAACAGAACTGTGCTGTCTTCTGGGATTTTGTTTTTACTTTTTTGTTGTTGTTTGTTTGTTTGTTTGTTTTTGTTTTTTTAAAAAATGGAGTGTGCTGGATGTCTTACAATTTTGTTTAAAGGACTACAGAACCTAGAAAAGCTGTTGCTGCTATTGATGCATAACATATTGCCATTATTGCTCTAAATATAAATATATACATATATATAAACTAAAAAATAAAAAAAAGATCAGGTTTTTGCTTTTTGACAATTTGACAATATGTGCTCTCAGATTTTAACTGTAAATATGAATTAATTTTATAAACAGAAATGAGAGGGGGGAAAGGAAGAGGGAAAGAGAAAAAGGGAGAGGGAGAAATTCTTTCAGAAGTAAGAAGTCCTCTTTTGTAGGGGCTTGGAGGGCTCGACTAAGTGATCAGTAGGAGGTATGGAGAGGTCTGGCTCCAAAAAGTCTATGAGCTAGGCAAGACTGCAGTATCTGTATTCCTAGCTACTTGAAAGGCTGAGACAAAAGACTGGGAGCTCAAGGCTAACCTGGGCTACATCCATAGGTCTGGGCTTTAGATCTGAGCAGCAACGTGTCTGCAGTACCACCTGGAGCTTTCAGTAGTACCAAGGAGGATTCTAGAACACTTCTGAGAAAACCAGAATGTTGAAGATGTAATCAGTGAGGTCAAGAAAGCATATAACATGGACTGAAAAACATCACTCAGAGTCCACTGCTGCGGGTTCTTTGATTATTTATTATTATCATGAGACAGTGGTAATAGAAATGAATTTAAAGTTGTGAAGAGTCGGGGTGAGAGTGAAGTTCATCATTTGGTGTGAAGGACATCTGTGGCCAGAAGCCAGGACTGGAATGCACTAACAGGAAGGCACCCAGGAAGGCTCTGGTAGGGTCTCTTCCATAGGGGACACTGGGCCCTACCGGGGTGGAGATGCCCCTCCTATCATGCCAGGTGAGGTTTCTGCTCTCAACTTTCAGAATCCCCTAAGAAAACTACAAGATACTGTGCCACCAAAGGGGATAGACAGAAGAAGAGCTTGACACAGCATGTCCAGCTTGGGAGGAGAGGAGGCTGGTAAGGGAATTCAGACGATCTTGCTACCCATTTCCACTTCCTTTAACCCACCGGAACAGTAAGTGTTAGGACCTTTACAGGGTTGCTTTATTAGGTGGATGGGATTGTCTGGATCCTCAACTCTATAATATGACTCCCTTTTGGAATAGATTAGGAAAACTTGATATAGCAGAATCAGATATTTGGGTAGATATTCTTTGACTTAATTTTCAATGCATGTATATGCCTACCAGAACTACACTTCTGCATACAGAGCTGTTCACCCATGCATTAGTAGGGAAACAGGTAGTGCTGCATGCTTTGGTCATATGGAGGCTGGTGAAGGAAGGAACAAAGACATTATTTGTAAAGCATATCCTAGTGGCTATGAGATTGGTTTAGGTACTCCATGATGTCTGATTGGACAGTGCTGACAGGAGTCTTGTGGAACCAGCGCATGACAGGGACTCCATCAGAACCCACCAGGAACTTCTCAAAATTCCAGCGGATGTCATGGACCCTCATGGGATTCCAGAAGAGATACTCTGTAGAGCCCAAAAGTTCAGAGGTGGGAGGGCAGGAGTTCTGGAGTGGAGATATGAAAAATGGAAAGATGATCTCATTTCTGCTTCTGTGTTGTCCAGTCTCCTCTGCTCACTGCTGTAAATCTTAATGTTTTAAACTCCACATGCTTCCGGCCCCTCCCACATCTGTTAGTATACAGCCACCTGCAAACCAAGGCCATTCTAACCAGGATAAAAAGTGTGACAGTCAGTGAAAAGCACCCCACTTTCCCGCCTCTCCTCTAGTCTCATGATTTTATCATGATGAGCAAAATAATACCTTCAGCCGGGCATGATGGCCCACACCTTTAATTCTAGCACTTGGGAGACAGAGGCAGGTGGATCTCTAAATTCAAGGCCAGCCTGGTCTATAGAGCAAGTTCCAGGATAGCCAGAGCTGTTACACAGAGGAGAAGCCCTATATCAAAAAAAAAAAAAAAAAAATCCATTTCTTTCAGTAAGTCATGATTTCTATGATCTCAGTATCCATGGATGAAAAATAATAGGTTGATTTTAGAGCAGTAGTTCCCAGACCTTGGAACTTCATAAGCCATAGAAGTTCGATAGCTATTTTATCACTGAGGAAATTAAAAATCTGTTATAACTATAAATTTAAATCTTAAGATATTTTATTTTACTTTCTTTTTTTCTTTATATTTATTTTATTTTAAATTATGTATATATGTGTGTGTGTCAGGTGGGTGGGTATACCTGTGCGTACAGGGCCTGCAAATTTCAGTACAGGTGGTTGGATCCCTGGCTGAACAGATGGTTGTAAGCTGAATAATGTGGATTCTGGAACTGACCTGGAGATCAGCACACACTCTTACTGCTGAGCCAACCCTCCAGCTCCTCACTCTTTGTTTACTTATTTATCTGTTTAGTCCGTCAGTCCATCCGTCAGTCAGTCAGTTAGCTAGTTAGTTTCACTCAAGAGCCCAAGTTGGTCTGAAACTCAATGTGAAACTCAAGCTGACTGTGAAGTCAGTCTCCCAAGTGCTGGGATTTCAGGCTTGTCACCACTGCAGATAGGACTCTTAAATATTAGACAGCTCTGTATGGATAATATCACTGTTTTGTTTGTTTTAAGACAGGGCCTTGCTATGTAGCTGTAACTTGCCTGGAGAGAACTATTTAGACTAAGCCTAGAATTCACAGCCATCCCCCTGCCTCTGTATTCTGAGTACTGGCATTATAGTTATGAGCCACTGTGTTTTGTCATGGTCATCTTTTGTGCTACAAAAAGCCGTTTATGTAAGGCAGCCTGACTATAACTTATTATTGGAATAAATGATTGTCTTTTATATTTGAATAAGTAGATCTTTTGCTTCAGTTTGCTGTGGATGAGTAAAAATATCCACAGGGACAGCTTTGTTCTGCAAACCGTCCTCTGGGGATAAGTGACTAGGTGATCCTTGTTGGGAAGGTCCTTCTCTCCTGCTGCTCTGCATCTATAATACTCTGTGATTCTTCTCCCTTGGCGCACTCTCTTAGCTGTGTCTATGTCCTCTCCGACTTTATAACAGAGCCTTCAGATAAGAGACTAATCTACTAATAACTGTTAATTTGTATTTCACAGTTCCCAGCAGGGAAGGTTAATCCACATCAGAGCTATCGTGTAGATTTCCTCTGCTTGAAGCCAATGCCTCATGTCTGTGAATTTACCACTTAAGGAGTACCATCTCATTATAGATACCTGCCCCATTGCTTCCAGAGAATCCTATCTAACTGATCCATGCCATGTTTATTCACTCACCTTTAGGAAAGAAAAAATCTTTTGTTCATTTTCTCCATTCACGTCCCCTTTCTCAAAAAGCTGGAAATTGGGGACATAGCCACCTCCTGGACGCACATGTCTGCAGTGAAACAAGATGTTCTCAAGAGAATCCAAATTTAAAAAAAAAAAAGGAGGAATAGGAATGGGCACCAGTGGTCCTCACAAAAGGATGGAAAGGACTGCAGAAAGAGAGAGGAGAAAGAGGGGTCCCTGGGATTCAGATTCCAAGTATGAGGCTTCATGGAATCAGAGAATCCAAGACACTGGGGAGAGGATATTTTGAAGTCAGATTTCCCGGCCCATCTCCATTTCCTCAGTGTCCATCTTTCCCCTAAATGTCTTTTCCTTAGACCTATTCTCACCCTCAAGAAAGCCTAGTGTGGAGAGAGTACTTGGGTATTTCCTGCCAGACTAGATAGAATGTTATGATGACATTCTTCAGCCCATTGTTCCATCTCCTATTCCGGAATCTCCGGAATGAGAAGGTATCTAGGCAGACGAGGAAAGGGCAACTCTGGGACCCAACATAGCACTCACTTGAGTCCAAGGAGGATCTCTGAGTTTTTTGCAGGTTCTTGTTTTCCAAACTGGTTGCAAGGAAAGCCCAAAACAATGACATTGAACTGCTTCAGCTCCTCCTGCAGTGTGTTCAGTTCTGTAGGTAGAGGGTGAACAGCATGGCAGACTTCCTGACCAAGGCTCAAAGGGCCACAAGGTTTATCCTCTTGTCACATGACTGCACTGCAGACTACGAAAAGCTACCGACATTAAATAGGCAGAGCAAACAGCTACAACACAGGTTGCCGGGAACTCATGTCAATGGCTGCTGGTTTTGTGGCACAGAGCCTCCCAAGTTTCATTGCTCTTCATCTTCCATGCAAAGAATTTATTTAAAGCAAATAGATACGGACTGATTAGACCTATGAAAAATCCTACTTGACTCTGAAAGGAGGCTAGACTCAAGGTGCATTCTCTTCGTTAGCTGGTGGATCAATTGAGATGTTTTATAAGGAAAAAGCAAACGAAACAATACTCTCCTGTCCTCCCACCATGTCTCATGATGACAATCTCTGACACTACGGGCACTTTCCCAGAAGCACACTTTGCTGTTGCATATTAGAAGTAATAGAAGAAAACAGAAAACCAGAGTCTGGCTCCAGTGTTCACCTATAATCTTGGGAGACAGAGCCAGGGGGATGGTCAGCCTATTCTGTATAGTGAGTACCAGGCTAACCAAGTTTGCATAGTAAGATACTTTCTCAGAGTGGAGGTGATCCAAACCTGGTTACATAGCATTCTCTAAACTGACCTCAATACCTAAGGCCATTTCCACCTTAGTAGGATCCCAGGCACACAGTTTAGACAGTTCTTCATACACCAAGAGCCTCTTGTGTGTCTGCTCTGTCTTTAGTCATTTTCAGTTTGGAGTTACTACTCAGAACAAGCCAGTAAGCTCACTTAGGCTCAGCTCTGCTTGCTGGTGACTCCCCTAAGAGCCTCTTCCTATATGAGAGTATCTTCAAGTTTTAATTTATTTCTTGTATATTTTATGTGAAAGTATATGTTTAATACATTATATATAAAATTTATTTTTTGAGACAGTTTCATGTATGATCAGGATGACTTCCAGCTCACTATGTAGCCAAGGAGGACCTTGAACTTCTGACCCTCCCACCTCCATCTTCCTCTTCCCAGTGCTAGGATTAAAGATCTGCATTACCATACTGGTTTCTGTGGTGCTAGGGTTTGAACCTAGGGTTTCACACAGGCTAGGCAAGTATACAATCAACTGAACTACACCTCGAGCCAATATAAAAATATTTTATACAAATAGTCTTCCACATTTCTTCAGTAGCTGCCTACATTCACCTGCCTCTTATCTTCAGCTTTCTCCTTGTAGGAGAAACGCAGTGGATCTCAACTGTAGTCTCTGGTAAGCTCTGAGCCCTCTCAACTTTTTCACTGAGTAAAATTTGACGTGCTCTCTAAAATTCTCATGATGTAGTTCAATTCAAAATGAGTGAAGTAGTCAGGCATAGTGGTTGAAGCCTGTAATCCCAACATTTGGGAGATAGATCAGGAGGATCAAATGTTCAAGACAAACCTTATTTACTGGAGACCTTGTCTTAAGCAAACAGAAAAGTGAGATGTAAGTGGTATTTTTCCATTGGGATCACGATCAACTCTGTTTTGCCAGCTGCTTACCACATAATCATTCAGAGATTTATTACTGCTTATAAATGATCAGCCAATAGCTCAGGCTTTTACTAGCTAACTCTTACAACTTAAATTAACCATTTATATTAATCTACATTCTGGCACGTAGCGTTACTTCTTTTATCTTCCTCCTCCTGTTTCCTCTCTGTGTTTGGCTGTCAGTCAGCTCCTCTGACTCTGCCCTTCTTCTTTCAAGCATCGTCCTAGTCTGGCTCTCCCACCCAATCTCTTCCTGCCCGGCTATAGACCAGACAGCTCTTTATTAACCAATGAGATTAATACATATTTACAGTGTAGAAAGATTGTTCCACAGTAGTGAGGAAATAGCAGGCACTGATAAGGAATAACATCCAAGGTATTTTACAATGCAAAACAGCAAGGTGAAAAACAATTTGTGTGTATTTATTCCTATCTCTCTTACACACACACACACACACACACACACACACACACACACGAAAGAGTGATTGATTTCAGGAAAAATATACTATAAACTGTGACAAATTTGGGCAGTATTCCTGTTAAACTCTTTTGTATCTTTTGAATGTTGTGAAGTATTATATACTCAACACATGTATTAAAATTAAATTTTAAAAATTCCCTCAGACCTACTCAAATGCTAGCCAAGTATTCTACTATTAAGCCATACTCTTCGCCCTACAATTAAATTAGAACAACTTTTCAAATTTACCATATTTTCAACTTTTTAAAGGAAAGAAAATCCCCATTTGTTAACTGATACTAAACTGATTATTGGCTCTTAAGTTTAGGTTCTTGAGTTTTATAAAAATTTAATATATAACTTTTCAGGTTTTCTTAAAGTTGATTCCACATAAGGATATAGAAACATAGTGGTCAAGAGCACTGTCTGCTCTTCCAGAGGACTTGGGTTCCATTCCCTATGCTCACATTGCATCTCTCAACTATCTATAACTCCCAGTTCCAGAGGATTCAATATTTCTTCTGGCCTCTGTGGGTACTGCATGCATGTGGTTCATATACATAGATACATACACTCATATATACAGACAAACAACCATATACATAAAATTAAATTTAAAAAAAGACAACAAAAAACTGTAATTTCACCACTAAATTGAAATAAGTATTTAGCTTCTCTTGAAATCTGAACCAGTTGTTTGACTGTGGTTTATATCATGTTGTATTTTATTCTTTTTTTTAATTTCCTTGAGACAGGGCTTCATGTAGCCTAGGCAACAGGATATGTAAGCAACAATGATCTTGAACTCCTGACTCTCTGGCATCCAGCTACCAAATGGGATTATAGGTGCCTGAAGAAGCAGTATTTTAATATAATATAAGTATGTGGCTAAGTCAATAACTTCAAAATACCAAAATCTGATGACACATATGTCCTAGATGGGATATTAAAGTATGCATCAATTTAAGTAGTAAGCAGAAAATTCTAAAATTTGTAATTATAGTTGCATTAAAAAAATTGATAGTGTGCACTCAGGAGGCAGAGGCAGGCAGATCTCTGTGAGTTCCAGGCCATCCTGGTCTCCAGAGAGAGTGCTAGGATGGGCTCCAAAGCTACACAGAGAAACCCTGTCTCAGAAAAACAACAACAAAAAAATAACATTGTTCACACATCTAATCCAAGCATTTGGGAGGCAGAGGGAGAAGGATCATGAGTTTGAAAGAGTGAGATCCTATCTCAAAAATTACTTTTGAACAGCACCTGATATTTTTGATTAGTCAAGTAGGTAGCAGTGTTAACATATGGAATTTGTAAAAACTTAATCCCATATTATTTTGGTCCATTTATCTCTGTAGCATTTGATTCAATAAACCTTTTGAAGTTAGCATGGATATTCTTAAAGCAATAATGTTCTTAGTATGTCAAAAATTATATATATATATATATATATATATATCTTGTATAACTCATGGAGAAATTTATATGACCTTATTTGTATTAACAAAAATATAAAATTGTGTATAATGTACACAATAGGGAGATGGAACATTCTCCTATATTTACCACTTGCTCCAAGCAGTCATGATGCCAGTTACAGCAGCTTGGATAAACATCTTCATTCTCCTCTGTCATTTGGGATGCTTCCCAAAGATAAAAGCAGTCTTATTTCCTGTTGGCGGTAGTGGTGGTGATGGTGTTAGTTGTGTGTGTGTGTGTGTAGACAGGGGGTAGATATTTGGTGTTTTCTTCTATTTATCCCCAGACCTTATGTTTTTCCACTTTACATATATAACATATGTTATACTTTTTTAGATTGCATCTCACTGAACAGGGGTCACTGTTTTTCCTAGACTGGCTGAACAGTTAGCCAGAGGAATCCACCTGCCTTTTCTCCTCTTGTCTCCCAGTTCTAGGCTTACAGGCTTGTGCCTCTACCATATTTGGATTTTTGTAGTTTTCTAGGAAACTGAATACAGGTCTTCATGTGTGTTCAATAAGCACTTTATGCCCTGAGACATCTCCCTGGCCTCCTGATGTTTGTTTTTGTTTTAATATGGTATCTTAAGAAGTAGTTCAATGTTTTAAGAATGACTTTGAACTGCAGATCCTCCTGCCTCCCTCTCACAAGTGCTGAAATGACAGGTTTTTACCACTATGTCATGAAATGCTGAGGACCAAAGCCAGGATTTTGTGTATGCTGGATAAGCACTCTGCCAACTGAGCCACCTGACCAGCCATATAATCTGTCTTATGACTCCCCGTTTCACTCTTGGTTTAACGCAAGCCCATCCTCACTATTCTAGGTTCTGGCCTATGAGTCACAGGAAGGCTTTGGTATTTAGTGTTATATCAATCAACTCCACAGAACATCAACATCAGAGGATGCAACCATGACCAATCAAGACTGCTCTACAATCACATCTGAACACACACACACACACACACACACACACACACACACACACACACACACACACACACACACACAGTGTCTAAATCACAAAATGACCACTTGTCCCCCAGCCAATATAAACTGTTGCAACTGCTTTACCATTTACAGCTTCAGCCTTTGTCTCTCTCGAAATATAGATTTGATAAGATAACCAATAGCATAATTGCCCCCTTCTGCATTTCCTGACAGCCCTTAATCCAAAGCAAACATCAGTTCCTTGAATCCTTCCCCACACTACCTGACACTAGCTCAGATGGCCCAAATCTTTTTTTTTTTTTTTATCCCTTCTTGAGAAGCTGCCCTGTTGCCTGTGGCAGGGCACAACTTTTTCAATCATAGATGTGTTCTAAGTGGTTGTCCAGCCTATCCCTGAGAAAACCTTGGTCCTCAGAATGAAGATAATTCTGGCATTAAAAGCAGCAAAATGGAAAAATTTAGGGGAATAGCATCAGTGTGCTTATTCATTCCCCAATCCCGGCAACACAGCAAAACCTTCTCCAGTAACAACATGGTGGTGTGGCAGGCTAGCTCTGAGAGAGAATTGAAACTCGAGTTCTTACCAGGATAAGTAGCTGTAAGGCCACAGAAGGACGCCACATTGACAAAGAGGATGTATTTTCCTGCATACTGCTGGAAGGGAACATACTCCCCACCATTCAGGGTCTTGGCCCCATAGTCATAGATAGTGCCAGTCACACCTTTGTTGCAATTCACCTGTAATATAACATAAGTAACTGTACTGGAATGACCTAACAAACCATAATTCTCAACACCTGCCAGCATTTTTCACAGCAGTTGGAGATTTTTCATGCAATATCTTGAAATTTTAAGAGCTGGAGAATTTCTGTTTGAGGAACTTTACACCCAAGAAGGCATTGGTGGTGAACACAGACCTGGGTGTCCCTAGAGGGTACCCGATCCACTAGGCTGGGATCTCATTTGATAGTAGGTAACTTGTGACTTTACAGCTGCCAATCAGAATTTTACATGCATCCTTGCCCTTCACATGACCAATAACAGAGGTCAAAGCTCAAAGGTCAGACTTAAGGGCTTGCGAAAGCATCATGAAAGCATTTTAGAAATGTCTGGGCTCCCAATAGGACATATTGGATCAAAAGCTGTAGGAATGGGGCCCAGTCACCCATGGGTTCTGTTTAGCTAAGGTCTGGGAATTACTCTGCTCTATGATGAGCTTGTCCCTCATCTTTTATGAAGGGAGCCAGAACTGACAAAAATATATAAGTAGCTTAGAGACACAAGTGAGGTTGAGGTTTTCAACAAGTTTCTCTGATTTTAAAGTTGAAATGTATTGGTCCCTCATACCATCGACATTAGCCCTATTCTGCCGTCTAAATGTATGCATGCATTATTTTTTTATAGGGAGGGATATTGACTCCCCCTAAAGATACCTTAGGATACAATCCCTCTTCTTGGCTCCTTGTGAGGATTTTTGGTTACTGCCCCAAAGTGTGATAATTGTGCAGCTCCTTGGAGCAACACCATGTTGTAAGAAGTCCTTACCCTGAGCTGAGCTCTCTCTTCACACCCTCCATCCCCACCCAATCAGCCTTTGTGTCTTAATGGTCACTGAAGAAAAGTCCCTCTTTCCTTAACCCCAGAGCCCTAGAGCCCAGTCCAGTGCCCTCTTCTCTAGTCCCTCTAGGTTTGGTCCAGCTGAGAATAGTCAGCCTCCCTCCCAATTCACTAGCTACTTAACCCATGGGGCTGTTTCAAGTTACAGATCAGCATGGGATAGTGCAGATTCTGAGGCGTCAAGCAGCCATCGAGAAGTGGCAGAGGCAGCTGGGGTGGCGGTGGGGGTAGGGGGCTAGCTAGCTATAGTCTTCTCAAAGATCCACTAGGTACAGAGAAAGAGAGAAGATGCATGGAAAACACAACAAAGCAAAGTGAACAGGCAGGACAGGTGCTGTGGCAAAGGGCATCAGTGACAGAGGTCTGCAAAGAAAGGCTGTCAGGCAGCTCTCTCCCTTCAAGAACAGGATAGGCCCCTGAATCTCTTGGTAGCCCCTTTACTTATCAGATGATGGAATCAGCTTCAATGCCCTGGGGGTGCTTACCTTTTCTTTTTGAGGATTCAGAGTCTCCTGAGCCAAGGCAGCCAGAAACAGTGGGAAAAGACAGGAGACCCAGAACGGCTGGGCCATGGCTGTACAAGGAACAGTGGCTGAGTCTCGAACCTCAGAAACTGTGACCCCTTTTGAGTATCCCCAGCAGGCACCAGTTTGGAGATGCACAGCCAATCACAGAGCTTCTGTCACTCTCCACCTCTCTCCTTCTCTGTCTTCTCCTCAGCTTCACGTGGGTAGGCACATGTTCTGACAGGTGAAGGTGAGATGAAGGTGGACACTTTTCTGCCTGGAACCTGAGAGGCTCTACTTCCCCTCTCCAAGTTGGAGTAACACAGGCCACTGAATCGCAGCCTACTTCACAACATATTCACAAGGTTTGATGCAAACTCAAGTTTGAAAAGCATTGAGTCAAATTGTCAACAGTGTTGAAGCCTGGAGACACAGGCACTAAGCCTGAGAGTTCTCTTCCCCCTTAGGGACCTCTGTCCTGCTCAGGTAAAGCCAGATCCTTGACTACACTGCTGAAAAGAATTTCAGGACTAGAGAGAACAAAACAGTTAGTATAGCAGGTGTTTAGACAGAGTCATGTAGGCAAAGGCAGTGTACGATCCCACAACATAGCTGTATGGGCTGCTGTGGTTTCCTAAGCCAATCCTCAGAGCTTGTAGTTTACAGCAAGATTAGTGAAACTCAGAATAATGTTTAAAAGCAAAAAATACATGCCCTGGTTTAGTTTGTAAAGATTTGAATTTAAATGTTAATTTAGTATTTTGGGTATGGTGTGTTAGAGTGCACGGAAAGGCCCCAGAACAAATGTGGGCAGCTGGTTCCTTTCTTCTACCTTACTTGGGATCCAGAGGTTAACAAAAGGCCATTGGGCTTTTGAGGCTGGCACCTTTATAACTGGAGTTATCTTGCCATCTCTAGTTTGTTTGGTTAATTTGTTTGCTTGGTTTGGTTTGGTTTGGCTTGGCTTTTCAAGACAGGATTTCTTTGTGTTGCTCTTCCTGGCTGTCCTGGAACTTGCTTTGTAGACCAGGCCTCAAACTCAGAGATCTACCTGCATCTACCTCCTGGGTGCTGGGATTAAAGATATACACCACTGTTTTTTGTTTTGTTTTGCTTTTTAAAGGCAAGTTTTCGTGTATCCCAGGCTGGCCTCTAATTGATTTGCAACTGATGGTGACCTTGAACATATGATGTTCCTGACTTCACCTCTGGGTTGATATGTTTGCCATCAGACCTAGTGTTCTGTGATGTTGAGAATTAAACCCAGGACTTCTTGCATACTAAGCAAGCGTTTACAACGTGAGCTATTATACATCCCCAGTCCTATTGCCTTAGTCCGGGTTACTATTGATATAACCATAGCAACTTGGGGAGGAAAAGGGTTTATTTGGCTGACACTTCCATATCAGTGTCCATCATCAAAGCACGTCAGGTTGAGAACTCAAATGGGGCAGGATCCTGGAGGCAGAGCTGATACAGAGGCCATGGAAGAGTGCCACTTACTGGCTTACTCTTCATGGCTTGCTCAGTCTGCTTTTTAACAGAACCCAGGACCACTAACCCAGGAGTGGCACCACCCACAATTGGCTGGCCCCTCCCCCATCAATCAATGATTAAGAAAATGCCCTGCAGGTTTGCCTATAGTCCAATCTTAAGGAGGCAGTTTCTCAATGGTTCTTTCGCTCTGATGACTCTAGCTTGTGTCAAGCTGACATAAAACTAACCAGAACATCTCCTACTTTTCTTTCCTTCTTTCCTTCCTTCCTTCCTTCCTTCCGTCCTTCTTCCCTCCCTCCCTCCCTCCCTGCCTCCCTTCCTTCCTTCCTTCCTTTTTGTATGAGTACCAGTGTTTTGCCTGAATGCATGTATGTATGTGAGCCACACGCATGCCTGGGTGCCTGCAGAAGCCAGACGAGGGCATTGGATCCCCTGGGGCTGGGGTTACAGGCAGTTGTATGCTGTCGTATGAGTGCTAGGAATCAAACCTTTTAGAAGATCAGCTGGTGCTTTTAACTGCTGAGCCATCTTTCCAGCCCCATATTTTTCTTAAAGAATCCCACCTTCCTTTTAAAAAAATGAAATTAAAGACTATCTTACTGTTTATATTTAGGGATGAATGAGGACTACTAATACAGTAAAGCTCAGAGTTACAAACATTCTGGCCTAAAGTAAGCATAACTCATGCATCGTTTTTTAACATCCTTGTTTGAGATGTTTTTAGGAAAACACAAATTACTTCTGCAGGCAATTTTAGATTGATTTGTTGTGATGAGATTTCTTGATTTTCAGAGAGCAGAAAGGACAGACTAGATCCCAAGTTAACAGAGTTTCTTTCTCTTCTCATGCCCCCTTGATTTTCCCATCTATTTTACTCTGCCTCAAAATAACCACTATTTGTTCTATCTCTTCAAACTTCACCACTTAAACAAAAACAAATGTCAAGTTTTTAAAATACGAAGCCAGTCTACTGGTGCTAAGCACTTCAGTTTTGCCCTTCACTCTGGCCCCTGGGTAAAAGTTCCTTAGCAGAGGAGGAACAAAACGTGGGACATACATTCAAAGCGAGAAGTTATCAGAGAGAGCTGTGAGACATGAGTCAGGAATGACCTGGCCTTCGTCTCCTCCTCTGCAGATATTTGTAATAATCTCTGGCCTGCCTATTCTAAAAATGTGCTATTGTGAAGTTTTAATAAGACAACAACCAGAATCTTGTTCCAAAATCTTTGAAGTGGGTGAGAATTGTATTTCCTGGCTGCTTCCTCTGGCCTTCTCTCCCATCCTCCTGGTTTTTACTGTAGGCTTGGGTTCACAAGAAAGCCTTCCTCTCCAGTTCTAAGCCTTCTGTCATCCAGCCCCTGCCACCTGCCCTGCCCCTTCCAAGTTCACACAAAGGGCCCTCTATGTCTCTGAGAAATGGGATCTGGATGGAGTCCAATTCTTGTGAACTCTGAGAAGGCACCCTTTTTGTTATCTGGGATTTCTGCTTTCCTCTATAGTTCAGGATCTGCTCCTAACACCCAATGCAGCCACACCACTCTCAGGGCCTTGAAACAGCCATGTAGCAGGTGCCCCTCTTACTGTACATCTCCAAGTTCTTCAGCCTTCTCCCATTCTCAGTTTTAAGAATGGCTGAACCTTAGAGTGAGTGTATTTTCCCACTTCACAAATGTGAACATAAACTTACAAAAGGTCTCTTGACTTACATTTTTCTATCTGCTTTTGTTCTTCAGATGCACTAACTACACGTATTAGGAATGTGAAGAGTGGTATTTATTTATTTCAGGGTCCTACTCTGTAACCTTGGATAGACTGCAACTTACTATGTAGCCCAGGCTGGTTTCAAACTCATGGCAAATCTCTGCTTCAATGTCCCAAGTGCTGGAGTTACAGGCATGTAACTGGCTTAACAGCAATGCATTTGCTATAGTTCTCTTTTATTTACATTTTTGTCCATGTTTTGCCTTGTTCTTGCTAATGCTTGGGGAAAATTCAGATTCAGGCTGGCTGTGACTCTAATTCTGAGCTTTCATGATGACCACTGGCCCTAACTTAAAGTCCTCCTGAGGCTCTGTCATTATTACCATAAATCCTACTTTGATCTGTTTCAGAAAATAGTTATAGTTGTTGGTGACACAAGAGAGAGACTGTAAAAATGAGCATGTGCCTTCCTAGATACTGTTCATGTCCATTGTTCCCACCACAATGTACCCTGGAGTCCCACCATGTCCCCACATAACCACAGGATTTGAAATGCAATGACTGCCTTGAATGGGGATGCTCTAAAGATGTAACCAATAGATACCAAAGAATTAAAATCTCCCTAATAGTCTTATTCTAGGTAATGAGAAAGGCTGGGTGAGATCCAGCTATCAACCAGATGAAGAACGTGACTCCCAGGTAGATGTTTCTTTCACACAGTGCTGACAGTTTGCTTGACAGACCAGAGTTAAGACAATGAAGAGTCAGTGATAGGAGGAATTACACATTATCAGGACTTCTTAGGCAAGAGCACCCCTTACTCTCTATGTAACCTAAACCCCAGTTCAGTACCCCCAAAGATAGTTCTGGGGGTCATTAGACCTCTTTGCTTGTCCCTCTTCCCTTGTGGCCATAATCAATAAATTCTTCCTTCTCTACTTTTTACCACTTTCTCTTTAATTGGCCTTCTGGGGAATGGTGGCTGAATCTATCTTATGGGGACTGCCAGGGCCCAGATTTTGACCATAACAACTCCAGCAACAATGTCCATAGTGCTCACAAGAGCTACTGTCTTATTTGGTCACAGAACCAGATGTCCCCCAACAAGGCATAGTTCCAAGGTTGCTTTAACCTATGTCTACTTTTCCCAGGGAAGGAAGTTGAATGCTTATATGACAGGCTAAATTCCAGATAGTCTCCTAGAGGTAAAGATTTGAGATTAAAAGATGATCAAATTTACCTATTTTCAAATTTCTTTTCTTCCCTCCTGCCCCCCTTTTTTCCTTGACATGGGTCTCACTCTCCACACTAGGCTGGCCTTGAACTCTTGGAAATCTGCCAGAAGCCATGCTGTCACCCTTGGGAACAGTGCATAGGTGTGTTGCAAATGGAGCTCCTTATATGACAAGGCCCTTTGGAGAATCCCTTCCATTTGTCAAGGACCTATGGATACAATACTGCAAACTCCTACTCTGATCTTAGGGAGCTCATGGGCTTCAGGCTTCTCTAACTTTTGCTATGCTTATTCTTATGGTAACTCTTAGTCTTGCCCTGTTAGTAGATTCCTGAGTTTACTGGGAACAAAAGCCTTTTCAGAAAAACTAAGTTTCTCTGATCTGTTATAGAAACCAGTTTCTCCAGTCATCCCTGGCTGCCTTTGCAGTCATCCTGAATAAGCAGGAGGAACTCTATAAGGTTAATGATTATTGCTTATTCAATACCAAAAAGAGATAAATATATTCCAAAGAACTTAGGAACCAAGAAAACAGTTTCTTAAAAGATGGCATTAAAAACCTTATAGGAACACAGAAGGAAAAAGAGATAGGACACAAAAGATCAGACATTTCTCTGGAACTAGGACATGAACG